TAACAGCAAGGACACTGGCGATTCCCATTCGGCCAATAGCTCTGCTTGCTTGGCCCTACCTTTTAGAGCCCGCCTTGTCTCAATTTTGTTTATTTGGTTTCAGCACCTTTTCTCCTCAGTAACGCTATTTCGTGCTTGAATTAATATTTTATCTGGGCAATGATAGGTTACGTAACACCTTTAAGCAATCACTTATCCTGGAAAGCTGTAAAACGGGAATGGTAGTAATAAGGGTTTTAAGGCTTAGCTCTCACCGTATATAAGCAACTAAATGTATGCAAGAAAACATATAAAATAAGTAAATTTCCGCCGTTTTTTTTGTTCTAGACCTATACATAGCAATGAAATTGAAAGTCATAGTTTAAAAACCAATAAATAAACGACTCCCAGTAGATAAAATAATCTGAATAAAGAAGCTACAATAACAAACATTCTGCACGTCATTATACGAACATAGTAGTTGGTATACAGAGGATTTCTTTCCGCACCTGGGAAATAATAAACTTAACAAGGCCAAGCTATGTACTTTATACTCAGGAGCTTACGTAGCAGCCCTTTTAAGGCGAATTAGAGTCAGAAATTCGAGATTGTTGTAATAATGTCTCTTTACACCGTCTATTTTATCGATATTTACCGTGAATACTTTTACCGAACTTCCTATGTACGTCCTTACTATTTGGTTTTCTGTGACCTAAAGGGCAGAAAGGCTGGTAAAAAAATGCATTATACAAGAAGTTTGTTTTCGCCTTTGTGTATGCTTCAACGTTTGCCCTTAGTGCGATAAAATAAGCAAGATTTTTCACGTGTGTAGCTTTTTTTTTCCTTGTTTGATAGTGTTTGAGCACGCGGTACCCATCGTCGAAATCGACGGGGGAACTGTCGATAGTGTTTGGGGGATACTTGTTACGATACACGCTCCTTGGAGGACGGACCTGCCCCTTGCCATTTAAGAAGATTTTGGCAGTAGCAGCTTCTCACGGTTGGGAGAGAGGTGCTAGTAGTGCAGTTATTTTTTTTAAGTGTAAGAGAATATGCAATGAAGTAAAATGATGGATGTCCCTGTTCTTTAAAGTTTCTTTGGCTAACTCCTTTTCAGCAGAAGTTTTCCCGACTCCTTTGAAATTTACTATATATATTTACTTTGTTTTCTCAAACTCAGTTTGACAAAACTGGCTTCCCTGGACAAGTTCAGAAACCAGCACATGCCTCTATAGCGCTTGGTCATTTTGCTGTAGATTCGATTCAAAGGGCTATAAACTAGCTAGAAAAGATGGTTGTATGTAACTGAGAGGGAACTCGACGCGGTGCCATGCATGTAAGGCTTCTTAGCCAGACATTTTGTAGGCCGCAACCCACAGAGGAAAGTTCTATCACGTTCAGGATTTGTAAATAATTCTGAATCTTACCTTAGTTCTTTTCAAGCGAGTCGGTGACGATTGTGGATACAGTTGGTTAATTCGCCCGACGCTCCACGGCATATTGGCATTCATTATCGGGATCGATTTTAACATCATCCCACAGTACTTAATGTCGTCTTTCACTCCCTTGCTGTTGTTATGGTTCAGTCTGGGAGTTGGCAGTGGGACTCGTGACCAACTGGCGACATTTTTATTATCTGTTTGACTCGATTCCTGCTTACCGCTTTCCGCCGTTGTCACATGAGGGTACGAAAGACGCGGGCTATGTGTGGTCAGTCTTTCGGGCATCTGTTTTGTCTGTTTCAACTTGCCTTCTCTATGAGGATAAGTGTACTATTGTCGGACCCCTCGATACGAACCTTTAACCGAGCTCGACAGTTCAACCAGTTGGGCTAGTATCGATTTTAGAAATTAACCGCTATTTCACTTGAATGCTTGCCCAAATAGGAAGCGTAAACAGGGACCGCCCTCAATTAATGTGGCCTGGCGCCAAGTTTCAGGGAAACTAGATGTAGGATTAAGGCGAGAGTTAGAGTCAAGCTTGAGGTTAGGTTTAGTGTTAGGTTAAAGGTCCAAGTTGAGGCCTCGGTCAGGATTATGTTAAGGATTAAGAATCGGTTTCGTGTTAACTAGGGCTTAGGTTTACGCTAGGGCTAGGTTAAGATTAAGGTTACCGTTTAGGTTAATGTTGGGGTTTGGACACAGGATTACTAACCCTGCCTTATATGTATCATAAGGCGACCTATTTTGAGTGGCCGTAGCATTACTATCCCGTGCCCTGTTCAGGCGACCATAGAAATTACCTTTACGGTCAACCAACCACAGTACACATTTTTGCGCGCGAAAATGGAAAGAGTTAAAGGCAAATTTGCGACCTATTATGCTCAAACTTTGAAGTGGTCGGACTGGTTGACATCCACTCGAATGTAAGTGCTCTTAAGGTATCATTGATTTTTAACACTCTGAATTACGTTCCTCCTGCTCTTCTACCATTTGCTAACTGCCAATTTGCCACACTTTGTTTTACGCGATTGATTTATTTTGCTGCATGCTGATTGGCGACTTTTCGTGGCGCACGGAGGTCAACTCTTGACCAAAGGATCAGGTTGTGCGCACGACTACCTGAGACCGCTCCAATTTATGTACGAGTGTTCATTTTCTGTTTGTTTTAGGCGCACGAACTCTCAATTCTAGAATAAGCGAATCCGAAATCCGCCGGCTCGAAAGCGTCCTTGGGAAGCCAAGAAAATAGAACGGAACGGAACATTTGCTGTGACTTCTCCGTCTGCTTCCATTGCGAGCTCATGCATAAGCGTCCTTTCAGAAGAGGTTGAGTCGATACCCTCCTCATGGCTACATTCATACTTTCGGGCTTTCAACAGTGACCGCTTGTCACACCATGACATTGTTTTAATCTGGCCTTTCTCAAATGCTCGTGTATGCGTACATTGAAAAAAAACTGAGAAGGGTATTTTCCATTAACCTTCGTGTGTGTGTCAGTATAAATGCCTCACTCACTGATTCACAACTTTTCGGGAAAATTCCGTCCAGCTTTCCACGTTTCTTTCTCTCCCTCCCTTCTCCTCCTCCTTCAAGTTATTTAGCTCAGTACGAACCTTAAATGTCCAAGCATTTCGTTCACACCTGTTGCTGCCTTTCATCAAGCTCCATTTTCGGATCCAGGTTGGCTGTG